CACTTCTCCCAGGTGCAACCAAAACACATTTTAGGTCAGGAGATCTTTTTAAAGGACATCTGGCTAAACACCTAATCAATGATCCGACCTTGTTGCGTGATCTCAGAATGGCCTCTCAGCTGCTAGACAAAGGTCATTTCTGTTGTGTATTTGTGCTTTAACCGTCTCCATATGTTGCGTTCCTCAGTTCTACCAGCCAGTTTTGAAGAACATCTAAAGAGCGAGGAAGTGATGGAAAGTGGAGTTGCCATTCTGAGCTGCAAATTGACTAAGGCCGCTCCGGTGGAGTGGATGAAGGGGCAGCATTTGCTCAGCAAAAGCGATAAATACCAAATGAGGCAGGAGGGCTGCTTTGTTAAGCTGGTGATCCAAGATGTGGAATTGGAAGATTCTGCAGAATACACTTGCCTCTGTGGAGATGAGAAGACAGCATCCTTCTTGACTGTTCATGGTAAAGGAACATGGTTGCTTACTATTTCGCCCACTATCTGTAGTTGCACATATTTCCTATTTATTGATGTTTGTCATTTGGAGTTGTTTGTTTGTTTGTGTATGTGTGATATTGCTCCTGCTGGGCAGAAGCCATCCATAGACCTCTCACACAAGTGATACCAAAACGAATTACATCTTCCTAAGACAGTTCAATGTTTCCCCACAAGACAGCATTGTCTACCTTGTGGAAATTCCCATCCCTTCTGATCCTTTTGATACAAATTACAAGGACAAGAAGCTAGGCACATTGCAAGACATGTTCAACTTTCTGTCTTTCCCAATGTTATGCATTTTATTTTATTGTGTTTGTGTCATCTTGTGTTGTGTGGTCCCAAATGCCTTCTCCAAGCTGTCATGTGTCGTTAAAAGAAATATGGTGTTTTCTGATCCCCAGCTTTGCCAGCACGCTTCAAATGCAACCTGAAGAACATAGATGCCACAGAAAGTGGTGTAGCCAAACTCTGTTGTGAGTTGACTCGGGTTGCACCAGTAGAATGGAAGAAGGAGCATCAAGTGCTCCAAGCAGGTGAAAAATGCATCATGAAACAAGATGGCACCAGTGTTGAGCTGGTGATCCACCAACTTAATCTTCAGGATGCTGGAAACTACACCTGTACATGTGGAGATGAACAAACCACAGCTTCTTTGAGAGTCAATGGTAAACAACATGTGAATTACTACATTGCAAACTCTCAACAGATATTGTTCTCCTTTCTGTCAGTAGTTGTGATGGTCAACGGTTTGACAAGTGTGTTCCAAGTCCAATTACAATGTATGCCAAGTTTGTCCATGTGTCCTTCACCAAAATGAAGTGTGGTGGTTTGTAACCATATGGATATTGTGTCTGTGTGTCTGTACCTCTAGCATGCTCATGGAGATACTCAAGAAGAGTGACTCCAACCTGCAACCTGGAAATCCATGTCACCCTGTTTTCTTTCAGTACTGGACACTAATTCCTGTGTGGATGCCAATTCTCATCCTACAAATCCTTCACTGATCTCGCTTGCTTGTCCTCCCTCACCGTTGTCCTTTTCTATGATTCCCTGTCCTTCTTAATAGCCTTGAGTCTTCATCCTGGCTAATAGGTCTCAAGATACATGGTGTTCTGAAGTCACTATAGTTAAAAAAACAGCTTGTGAAAGCTATGTTTTCCCATTTCATCCTTCATCCCATTTGTAACTGTGCCTTTGACTCTGTTGTCATACCCTTCACCCTTGCTTGTCTTTCAAACAAGATGTTGGATCCATTTGTTGAGTTGATGGTCTCTCCGATGTCAGCCTGAAAAGCATTAGGGCATATATTTGAACCTATGGAGACCAGCTGTCGACTCTAACAGTCTACGATAAAAACCATTTTGTGTAGATGACGTGGAACCTTGACTCTACAATTCCATTGAACACCATTGTAGCAACATTCCCACTTGTTCTGTGTTGCCTGTCTTCATGTTCCATTGTGCATCTGTAGCAAACATTAGTGTCTCTGTCTGTTGTGAAGATACGTTTGGAGAGTCATTATTCATAGTGCTATCTACTTTTGAAATTGTGCCAGTGGCTGCTGAAGGCAATGGAGGCCCTTATTTCCATTAACCATCCTCAGCTGCTGGAACAAATTCCCCACTCCAGTTTCTGGTCTCCCTCCTACTGGTTTCCCGCTCCTGCTGCGCCACCCACTTTCGAAGGCTGGTCCTTCACCCATGTCTTTTGTGTTCTGCAGCCCTCCCACCACAGTTCAAAACGGAGCTGAAGGACTTGGAAGCCACTGAAAATGGATCAGCCACGCTGCACTGTGAGCTCACCAAGGCTGTTCCAGTGGAGTGGAGGAAGGAAAGCAAGAAGCTAGAAGAAAGCAACAAATACCATATGAGACAAGAAGGCAACACTGTAGAATTGGCGATCTGTGAATTAGACATTCAGGATGCTGGATGTTACAGCTGTATTTGTGGAGAGAAGAAAACCACCGCAGTTCTAACAGTTCACGGTAAAACATGTGAAATTAACCCGGTTTATTGATACATTGGCAGTAGAATGCTGGGTGTATAAATAAGGAATATAGATCTTGATGCTGCTGATGGGAAAATTGACCTCTGATTGGGTTGTTGTAGGTTTTTCGGGCTATATGGCCATGTTCTAGAGGCATTCTCTCCTGACGTTTCGCCTGCATCTATGGCAAGCATCTTTGAGGATGCTTGCCATAGATGCAGGCAAAACGTCAGGAGAGAATGCCTCTAGACCATGGCCATATAGCCCGAAAAAACCTACAACAACCCAGTGATTCCGGCCATGAAAGCCTTCGACAATACATTCATTAAAATTGGTACATACATACACACACATCACTTCATTACTGAGCATTTGATGGGACCTGTGAACATCTGGGTGCCATGTATGATAACACTATGTAACACGATTTTTGTTCCTGGGTTATACATGTCATTTCCTAACTGGTTCTATAAAAAACATGGAAAAAGTTTATTAAACTGCAAAAACTTTGTCTTTGCAGGAGGGACATCCTGCAACACATTTTCCTATAGTTTTTCTTGTAGAGTCTCAACCAATTCAAGAGTTTGTGGAAGCCACAAAAACAAAGTTTCTGCAGTATAATAACTACTTTCAAAGTAAATACTGCATAATTAAACAGGAAATAACACTTTCAAGCCAGGAACAGAAACTTTTTCAAATTTTGTTACATAGTGTAATTGCTAGGGAGTTCCATCAAATATGTACAACATTACTGGGATGTTTATTTATTTATTTACTATATTTCTATATTGCCATTCTCAGCCCGAGGGCAACTCAGGGCGGTTTACAAAAGGTGCAATTCGATGCCCACAATAATATAAAAAACAGTTATGTTACACCAGTCGCGCTTGTGAAGGAGGTGGGACCTAGAGCAGGGCCTCCCCGGCAGAGCTTAATGTTCTGGGTAGTTCATAGAGGGTGATGCGTTTGGACAGGTAACTAGGACAGGAACCATTTAGGGCTTTATAGGCTAAAGCCAGCACTTTGAATTGTGCCCGGTAGCAAATTGGCAGCCAGTGGAGCTGATGTAATAGGGGAGTTGTGTGTTCCCTGTACTTTGCTCCAGTGAGAAACCTGTCTGCTGCCTGTTGGACTACTTGGAGCTTCTGGACAGTCTCCAAAGGCAGCCCCATATAGAGCATGTTGCTGTAGTCTATTTGAGATGTAACGGGAGTGTGGATCACTGTGGCCAAGTCTGACTTCCCAAGGTATGGATGAATTTGGCACACAAGTTTTAATTGTGCAAAAGCTCCCCTCGCCACCTCCAAAATCTGGGGTTCCAAGCTCAGTGATAAATATAAGATATTATAAGATAGATGTATGCTAATTTATAGTTTGTTGGTGAACTGTATGTTAGAGTATGTGATTAAACCTGCAGATATATATATATATATATATATATATATATATATATACATACACATACACACACACACACACACACACACACACACACATTCACATATTGTGTCCAATTCTGGGCACCACAATTCAAGAGAGATATTGACAAGCTGGAATGTGTCCAGAGAAGGGCGACTAAAATGATCAAGGGTCTGGAGAACAAGCCCTATGAGGAGCGGCTTAAGGAGCTGGGCATGTTTAGCCTGAAGAAGAGAAGGCTGAGAGGAGATATGAGCCATGTATAAATATGTGAGAGGAAGTCACAGGGAGGAGGGAGCAAGCTTGTTTACTGCTTCCTTGGAGACTAGGACGCGGAACAATGGCTTCAAACTACAAGAGAGGAGATTCCATCTGAACATGAGGAAGAACTTCCTGACTGTGAGAGCCGTTCAGCAGTGGAACTCTCTGCCCCGGAGTGTGGTGGAGGCTCCTTCTTTGGAAGCTTTAAACAGAGGCTGGATGGCCATCTGTCAGGGGTGATTTGAATGCAATATTCCTGCTTCTTGGCAGAATGGGGTTGGACTGGATGGCCCATGAGGTCTCTTCCAACTCTTTGATTCTATGATTCTAAAGCTTTACTACTTCAAAGTATAAAAGGCAGTGTGAAGGGGAACCAGAATGGTGTAGTGATTATACCATGCTGGCTTTACTAAAGGTTATTGTATTTACTAGGGTTGGATAGGTTTGCTTAAATGTGGAGTAGCAGTAGATCAGCTTTCATCAAAATTGGTGTAAAAATGAGGGAGGGAGAAGAACTTGGAGTTTCCTCAGTGCCAGTGCTGTTTTCCACATATTGCACAAATGCG